GGTGTTGACTTCTTGATGTGTAGTGCCTCGCAAACGTCAAGCCGCCTGCTATCGCTGTATCTATCGATGATTTCTGTGTTGTTTACTAGGATTTCTCTGGCGATGGTTTGGTTGTGGGAAGAAATTATATGTTCCTTAATGGAGCCCTGTTGCTTATGCATCGTTAAACGCCTAGAAAGAGATGTTGTTGTCTTGCCTATATACTGGGTTTTTTGGAGCTTACAGTCCCCAAGAGGGCATTTGAAGGCATAGACGACGTTAGTCTCTTTTAAAGCGTTCGGTTTTGTGTCTGGAGAGTTTCTCATGAGTAGGCTGGCCGTTTTTCTGGTTTTATAGTAAATCGTCAGTTGTATCCTCTGATTTTTGTCTGTAGGGATAACGTTTCTATTAACAATATCTTTCAGGACCCTTTCCTCCGTTTTATGGGCTGTGAAAAAGAAGTTCCTGTAAAATAGTCTAATAGGGGGTATAGGTGTTGTGTTATTTGTCTCTTCAGAGGTTGCATGGCGTTTCACTTTCCTTCTTATGATGTCTTCGACGAAACCATTGGAGAAGCCGTTGTTGACTAGGACCTGCCTTACCCTACAGAGTTCTTCGTCGACTTGCTTCCATTCTGAGTTGTGGCTGAGAGCACAGTCGACATATGCGTTAACAACACTCCTCTTGTACCTGTCTGGGCAGTCGCCGTTGGCATTTAGGCACATTCCTATGTTCGTTTCCTTAGTATAGACTGCAGTGTGGAAACCTCCGCTCTTTTCCATGACTGTTACATCTAGAAAGGGCAGCTTCCCATCCTTTTCCATCTCGTAAGTGAAACGCAGCACGGAACTCTGCTCAAATGCCTCCTTCAGCTCCTGCAGATGTCTGACATCAGGTACCTGTGTAAAAATGTCGTCAACATACCTGCAGTATATGGCCGGTTTCAAGTTCATGTCGACTAAGACTTTTTGCTCGATGGTACCCATGTAGAAGTTTGCAAACAGGACTCCTAGGGGAGAACCCATGGCGACCCCATCTACTTGCTTATACATGTGCCCATCCGGGCTCAAGAAGGGTGCCTCTTTAGTACAAGCTTGGAGTAGTTTCCTCAGAATATTTTCTGGTATGTCAAGAGGAGTACAGGCTGGATCACGATACACTCTGTCGGCTATCATCCCGATTGTCTCGTCCACAGGTACGTTGGTAAACAGCGATTCTACGATTCACCTCAAGACTCCGTTCCAATATAGAAGCATCAAGAAATATGGACCAATAGGCTTTCTACAAACACTTCTATTCAATACCCATTGTTTCGTGTTCTGTCTTGTGTTGATGAAATTAATACCCTATTAATGCCACCTCTTGTTCTGTCTTGTGTTGATGAAATTAATACCCTATTAATGCCACCTCACCCCATCCACCTCACTCAAATGTAGATATAAAATCGGAGATGCATAAGTTCTATTCAGTTGTGTATTTGTAAACTAAAAGTCTTTGAAAATGTAATAAGTTTTACGAAACGCGCTCGTGTCGCGTCAGACTAGAAATAAAAATGAATTTTGGAGAATTGATTTTTGATTTACCTCCAACAGTGAAAAGAAATGTACGAAAGATTGAGAAAATTCGTGTTAGAATTATTAATCTTACTTTTTCGGTCATATTTAATAATATATGTCTACAGGAAAGACTGCTACCAAAATATTCTATATATTTTAATATATTTAATATATTTAATATAATATATATATATATATATATATATATATATATATATATATATATATATATATATATATATATATATATATATATATATATACCACCTCTAGCTGGAAGAAGGGGGACCCATAGCCTCGGAGGAAACCACGCATAACGCATTAGAGGGAATGTTTAGATCCCCTCAAATACAGTTTCTGTGTGCTTTTCTCCTACCACCCCCTTCCTTTTTTATTTTTTGTGCTTTATTATGCATTTGATGGTTACAAGATATACATGGGTTGATACAAAAATAATAATGCAAAAAGGTGATATATATATATATATAAGGTAAGCCATATATATATATATATATATATATATATATATATATATATATATATATATATATATATATATATATATATATATATATATATATATATATATATATATTATTAAATATGACCGAAAAAGTAAGATTAATAATTCTAACACGAATTTTCTCAATCTTTCGTACATTACGCTTCACTGTTGGAGGTAAATCAAAAATCACTTCTCCAAAATTCATTTTTATTTCTAGTCTGACGCGACATGGGCGCGTTTCGTAAAACTTATTACATTTTCAAAGACTTCACAAATACACAACTGATTAGAACTTACGTATCTCTGATTTTATATCTACATTTGAGTGAGGTGGGAGGGGTGATGTGGCATTAACACAAGAGGGGATATTAATAGGGTATTAAAAGTATCAACACAAGACAGAACAGAAACAATGGGTATTGAATAGAAGTGTTTGTAGAAAGCCTATTGGTCCATATTTCTTGATGCTTCTATATTGGAGCAGAGTCTTGAGGTGGGTAGAATATAGTTGTGCAATAATTGGCTGTTGATTGCTGGTGTTGACTTCTTGATCTTCACATCAAGAAGTCAACACCAGCAATCAACAGCCAATTATTGCACAACTATATTCTACCCACCTCAAGACTCCGCTCCAATATAGAAGCATCAAGAAATATGGACCAATAGGCTTTCTACAAACACTTCTATTCAATACCCATTGTTTCTGTTCTGTCTTGTGTTGATACTTTTAATACCCTATTAATATCCCCTCTTGTGTTAATGCCACATCACCCCTCCCACCTCACTCAAATGTAGATATAAAATCAGAGATACGTAAGTTCTAATCAGTTGTGTATTTGTGAAGTCTTTGAAAATGTAATAAGTTTTACGAAACGCGCCCGTGTCGCGTCAGACTAGAAATAAAAATGAATTTTGGAGAAGTGATTTTTGATTTACCTCCAACAGTGAAGCGTAATGTACGAAAGATTGAGAAAATTCGTGTTAGAATTATTAATCTTACTTTTTCGGTCATATTTAATAATATATGTCTACAGGAAAGACTGCTACCAAAATATACTAATATATATATATATATATATATATATATATATATATATATATATATATATATATATATATATATATATATATATATATATATATATATATATATATACATATATATATATATAAGGTAAGTCATATATATATATATATATATATATATATATATATATATATATATATATATATATATATATATATATTAGTATATTTTCGTTAATATATTAGTATATATTAACGTTTCTACTGACAGATATCCTGAAAGATATTGTCAGTAGAAACGTTATCCCTACATATAAAAATCAGAAGATACAACTGACGATTTACTATAAAACCAGAAAAACGGCCAGCCTACACATGAGAAACTCTCCAGACACAAAGCAGAACGCTTTAAAAGAGACCAACGTCGTCTATGCCTTCAAATGCCCTCTTGGGGACTGTAAGCCTCAAAAAGACCTGTATATAGGCAAGACAACAACATCTCTTTCCAGGCGTTTAACGATGCATAAGCAACAGGGCCCCATTAAGGAACATATAATGTCTTCCCACAAACAAACCACCACCAGAGAAATCTTAGCAAACAACACAGAAATCATCGATAGATACAGCGATAGCAGGCGGCTTGACGTTTGCGAGGCACTACACATCAAGAAGTCAACACCAGCAATCAACAGCCAATTAATGCACAACTATATTCTACCTACTTCAAGACTCCGCTGCAATATAGAAGCATCAAGAAATTTGGACCAATAGGCTTTCTACAATTACTTCCATTCAAATACCCATTGTTTCGTGTTCTGTCTTGTGTTTGATTTTAATACCCATTCAATACCCATTGTTTCGTGTTCTGTGTTGTGTTGGAATTTAATACCCATTCAATACCCATTGTTGAAAGTTCGTTTTCACCTCATCCAAATGTAGATATAAACTCGAAGATATGTAAGCTCTATTCAGTTTTAGTTGTGTGTTTGTAAACTAAATTCTTTGAAAATGTAATAAGTTTTACAAAACGCACTCAAGTGTCGCGTCAGACTAGAAATAAAAATGAATTTTGGAGAATTGATCTTTGAATTACCATCAACAGTGAAAAGAAACGTAAGAAAGATAGAGAAAATTCGTGTTAGAATTATTAATTTTACTTTTTCGGTCATATTTAATAATATATATATATATATATATATATATATATATATATATATATATATATATATATATATATATATATATATATATATATATTTTTTTTTTTTAAAGTTTGTGAGGCTACCACCTCTGGTGCCAATGTGGGGACCCATAGCCTCGGAGAAGAAATAAAAAGTATTCAGAGGAGACCTTGTGATTTCTCACTGAACACTAATATTAACTTCTCCTACCACCCCCATTATTTTGTATGTACACATATATATTTACTTTATTTGAACTTTGTTACAAAAAAGAAGTTACATATGGGTATATATATATACCCATATATACCCATATATATATATATATATATATATATATATATATATATATATATATATATATATATATATATGATGCCAACAAAGACAATTATCTAGAATATTATAGAATGCATACATGCATATAATCATATATATATATATATATATATATATATATATATATATATATATATATATATATATATATATATATATATATATATATATATATATATGTATGCATTCTATAATATTCTAGATAATTGTCTTTGTTGGCATCATAATGCCAGAGTAACGCAAGATCAAGATAAACTGAAGCCAGCCAGCAGTAGTTTACAACTAATTAACATTTTCCAGGCATGGATGAATATTTTTCATACATTGATTGAATGTTTCCAAATCTGATCAATTTTTTTTATTACTTTGTCCTACTTTTTTAACTAACATTCTGCCTATGAACATGGTATTTACCTGTCTGCTGACCATGCCCACCATGCCTGACCAGGTACCGTCTTCACGCTTAATGCCCCAAGACCCATCAGGAGGCCTCATGTATATGTACCTGGCGCCCAGAAATCCCAGTCGAAATTATGACCATGATAGCACTAATAATATCAATAGTATGTAATATTTGTAACATATTCTCATCAAGTATCAACATTTTTCGCAAAATAACACAAACTACAATGGTCAACAAATGATGTTTCATAAAAAAAATACTTTAAAAAAATTTCATCATTAAACATAAATAAAATGAGCTCCAAACTTGTAACTCATTTATTATTAGTAAATTTGTTTCTAAATGTTCAAAACGTCATCTTGTCTCCGAGGAAAGATCAGTGTGCTCAGTGTGTTTTCAATAACAGGAGGAGATATGACGTGCTTTTCCCAGTCGAGTAGCTTGCCAGGTTAAATATTACCACCTCTGTTTGTTTTCATTCCTTTTAGATGAGTTTTTTCATATTCATTGTATGTAGGTCAGCAGATTTAGGAATTGAAATGTTGGTAGAATGATAACTTGTTTTGTAATTAATATCTATTATATATAAATCATCTGGTGATTTATATATAATTTTTTGACAGGAATTCATTGTAATTGATAAAAATATGGATCAAACAAACTTTTTCTGACATTTATAGAGAATTATTTGCTAAATAAGATTAAATCTAAATGAAAGTAATCAGATATTTTAAAATAATCTTTAGCTGGGGCGAAGTTTTTAAAAGATCACAATTATAAAGTGTTATACTTATTTCAACCAATTATGTTCAAACTTGTTCTATATTAAAAATACAGAAATTAAGTTTGTGATTTTTTAAGTAAAAACTCCATCTCTACATGAGATTTTATGGATTAATTTTGTCTTGGCCCTCGATGTCTTCTATATTTTGTCATGGCCCTCGATGTCTCCTATATTTTGTCTTGGCCCCCTCGATGTCTTCTATATTCACGTTGATACTGGTTGGTTGGGAAGTCCTTCAGTATATAGGATCAGGTTGAATTTGCCCTCCTGTGACTAAAGTTCAACTTACAGTAAGCATAGTGTATGATGCTGTGTCTGGCACACTGTGACTTATGGGAAGTTTAGTGTATGATGCAGAGTCTGGCACGGGTCTTACACACTGTGACTTACGGGAAGCTTAGTGTATGATGCAGAGTCTGGCACGGGTCCTACACTCTGTGACTTACGAGAAGTTGAGAGCCGTGGCGAGGTAAGCCACTAAGGCTGGCGCTGGTCCCGTGAACTCTAACATCTCTCCCTGACGAGTCTCAGCTTCCTCTTTGTTAACCATAATGTTGAGGGGGTTCACCTCAGTCGCCAGCTTGAGAGTCGGTCTCTGAGGGAATCTAACACCAAAGTAAACAATAGAGAGAAGACGTCGCTACAACATTCCTGGGACCAGCATACAAGTACTAATTTAGGTCGACTTACATTTATTGCTTAAGGCTTTTCTCTAATGATCTACATACTATTTCTATCATATTTACATCCAACAGATTTACCTGCACCAGGCTAATCACTCAAGACATTAGTACACAAAGACCCAATATTTACGTACATATAATGTGGTAGTATTTATATGATCGATCATTTGCTTCCAAACTGAAACGAGGTTGAGCTTGCGGCTGATGGCTATTTTGAGTGCTTTTATAATTTGTTAGGAAAGAGTTGAGAGTAAGATACCAGTGGAGCCTTCAGCTCCTGGGCTCCCAGAGACTGTCCAGCACTCACCTGGAGAACTTGTGAGGGAAGAGTGTGAGGTGGGAGGTGAGGGAGAGGCCACGGTGAGGCGTCCAAGAGGCCACCTTCAGCGCCCCGGCACCCAGGGGACTGTACGGCAGCTCTATATACAAGCTACACCTGTATGGGGACACACCACTTATATATACCACTTACGTCAGACCAATCCTGGAATATGCAGCTCCAGCCTGGAGACCATACCTTTTTAAACACAAGACAAAATAAGGAAAGATTCAGAGGTATGCCACCAGACTCTTTCCGGAACTGAGAGGCATGAGCCACGAGGAAAGGCTAAGGGAGCCTTTCCAGGGATCTCACGTCCCTGGAAAACAGAAGAGTAAGGGGAGACATGATAACGTACACAATTATCAAGGGAATTGACAAGTAGACAGAGACAAGATCTTTGCACGGGTGGAACACGAACAAGGGAATACACAGGTGGAAATTTAGTACCCAAATGAGCCACAGAGACATTATAAAGAATTTCCTCAGTGTCAGAGTAGTTAACACATGGAATGCATTAAGTGATGTGGTGGAGGCTGACTCCATACACAGTTTCAAGTTACAAGTTACCTACCCCACACAGTATCTTAGCTACGGAACAAGTTACCTACCGCACAGAGTATCTCAGCAACGGGGCAACTTATATTCCCTACAGAATATCTCAGCTACAGGACAAGTTACATTACCTGACGCCAACTTGAGTTTCTTGGAAAATAAGCAGCATGGAGTTAGTGATGGAGAGCAGCCCGTGGAGGACCTGCAGGTGGTGGAGGGGGAGGCGGGTGACGACCAGGAGCCTGGTTGACCACACCAGGAGGCGACCCTTGAGGGACCACTGGGCGAAGGTGGAGAGGAAGACGAGGTCGTCGCTCACCACCACCAGCGTCGCGCACCTCGACACCTGCCACACCTGTTGAAGTTAATATAGTTGACGCTATGAGAGTGGCATGACCGTCAGTAGTGACGTGAGAGTGACCCAACCATCGCAGTAGTGACGAGAGAGTTACACACCCCTAGCAGTAGTGACAAGAGTGACCAACCCCTCCCAGTTGTGACGGGAGACTGACCCACCCCTCGCAGTAGTGACGAGTGAGTGACCCACCCCTCGCAGTAGCGACGTGAGAGTGACCCACCTCTCGCATTAGTGACGGGAGACTGAACCACCCCTCGCAGAAGTAACGAGAGAGTGACCCATACCTCGTAGTAGTGCCGTGAGAGTGACCCACCCCTCGCAGTAGTGACGAAAGTGACCCACCCCTCGCAGTAGTGACGGGAGGGTGACCCCACTCCTCGCAGTAGTGACGGGAGAGTGACCCACCTCTCGCAGTAGTGACGGGAGAGTGACCCACCCCTCGCAGTAGTGACGAAAGTGACCCAACCCTCGCAGTAGTGACGGAAGAGTTACCCAACCCTCGTAGCAGTGACGAGAGAGTGACCCACCCCTGGAAGTACTGACGAGAGAGTGACCCACCCCTCGCAGTTGTGACTGGAAAGTGACCCACCCCTCGCAGTAGTGACGAGAGAGTCACCCCTCGCAGTAGTGACGAGAGTGACCCACCCATCCCAGTAGTGATGTGAGAGTGACCAATCCCGCGCAGTAGTGATGTGAGTGACCCACCCTCGCAGTAGTGACGTGAGAGTGACCCACCCCTCGGAGTAGTGACGGGAGAGTGACCCATCCCTCGTTGTAGTGATGGGAGAGTGACCAGCCTATCGCAGTAGAGACAGGAGAGTGACCAACCCCTCACAGTAGTGACGGCAGAGTGACCCACCCCTCGCAGAAGTGACGCGAAAGTGACCCAACCCTCACAGTAGTGACGGGAGAGTGACCTACCTCTCGCAGTAGTGACGGGAGAGTGACCAATCCCTCGCAGTAGTGACGGGAGAGTGACCAATCCCTCGCAGTAGTGAATGTAGAGTGACCCACCATTCGCAGTAGTAAGAGGAGAGTGACCCACCCCTCGCAGAAGTGACGGGAGAGTGACCCAATTCTCACAGTAGTGACATGAGAGTGACCCACCCCTCGTAGTAGTGACATGAGAGTGACCCACCCCTCGCAGTAGTGACGTGACAGTGACCCAGCCTTCACAGTAGTGACATGAGAGTGACTCACCCCTCGCAATAGTGACGAGAGAGTGACCAATCCCTCGCAGTAGTGACGGGAGAGTGACCAATCCCTCGCAGTAGTGAATGTAGAGTGACCCACCATTCGCAGTAGTAAGAGGAGAGTGACCCACCCCTCGCAGTAGTGACGGAGAGTGACCAACCCCTCGCAACAGTGACGGGAGAGTGACCCACCCCTCGCAGTAGGGACGTGGGAGTGACCCAACCCTCGCAGTAGTGACGTGAGAGAGACCCAGCCCTCGCAATAGTGACGGGAAAATGACCCACCCCTCACAGTAGAGAGGGAAGAGTGACCCACCCTTCACTATAGCGAAGAGAGAGTGACCCCACATCCTCGCAGTAGTGACAGGAGAGTGACCCACCTTTCGCAGTAGTAAGAGGAGAGTGACCCACCCCTCGCAGTAGTGACGGGAGAGTGACCCAACCCTCACAGTAGTGACGGCAGAGTGACCCACCCCCTCGCAATAGTGAAGAGAGAATGACCCAACCCTCACAGTAGTGACGGGAGAGTGACCCACCCCTCGCAGTAGTGACGGGAGAGTGACCAACCCCTCACAGTAGAGAGGGGAAAGTGACCCACCCCTCGTACTAGTGACGTAACAGTGACCCACCCTTCCCAGTAGTGACATGAGTGACCCACCCCTCGCAGTAATGACGTGAGAGTGACCCACCCCTCACAGTAGTGACGGGAGAGTGACCAACCCCTCACAGTAGTGACGTGAGAGTGACCCACCCCTCGCAGTAGTGAATGTAGAGTGACCCATCCCTCGTAGTATAGACGAGAGAGTGACCCACCCCTCACAGTAGTGACGAGAGAGTGATACACCCCTCGCGGAAGTTACGGTCGAGTGGCCCACCACCACAGTAGCGACGTGGGAGTGACCGCATCCATCGCAGTAGTGAGGGGAGAGTGACCCACCCATCGCAGTAGTGACGGAAGAGTCACCCCTCGCAGTAGTGACGAGAGTGACCAACCCCTCGCTGTAGTGACGGAAGAGTCTCCTCTCGCAGTAGTGACGAGAGTGACCAACCCCTCGCTGTAGTGACGGAAGAGTCACCCCTCGCAGTAGTGACGAGAGTGACCCAACAATCGCAGTAGTGACGTAAGAGTGACCAACCTCTCGCAGTAGTGACGGGAGAGTGACCCACCCCTCGCAGTATTGACGTGGGAGTGACCCAACCCTTGCAGTAGTGACGTGAGAGTGACCCACCCCACGCAGTAGTGACGGGAGAGTGACACACCCCTCACAGTAGTTACGGCAGAGTGACCCACCCCTCATAGTAGTGGCGGGAGAGTGACCCACCCATCGCAATAGTGAAGAGAGAATGACCCACATCCTCGCAGTAGTGACATGAGAGTGACCCACCCCTTGCAATAGTGACGGGAAAGTGACCCACCCCTCGCAGTAGTGACGGGAAAGTGACCCAACCCTCCCAGTAGCGACGGGAGAGTGACCCACCCCTCACAGTAGTGAAGGCAGAGTGACCCACCCCTCGCAGTATTAAAGGGAAAGTAACCCAACCCACACAGTAGTGACGGGAGAGTGACCCACCCCTCGCAGTAGTGACGGCTGAGTGACCCACCCCTAGCAGTAGTGAAGGCAAAGTAACCCAACCCTCACAGTAGTGACGGGAGAGTGACGAACCCCTGGCAGTAGTGACGTGAGAGTGACCCACTCTTCACAGTAGTGACGGCAGAGTGACCCACCCCTCGCAGTAGTGACGGGAGTGACCCACCCCTCACAGTGTGGGATATCTGGGGTTTGATTCAATTATTCAATTATTTACTTATTTAATTTAATAACGAAGGACCACCCACTTTTGAGAAAAGAGGGGAAACTAACAAAAGTGATCATTAGAATAACACTAGAGAACCAGTGTCTATGGATAATTATTAAAAGGGATAATCACTTGAAATAATGAATGGACTGTATGATTAATTAACTAAAGTCAGAGCCTCAAACACCTACATTTGAGGGGGGGGGTATTACTAGAACTTCATATAGGTCTAGGAACTAGTGTGGTTCGTTACCAGTTCATTGCTGAGTAAATAATATTATGATCTCAAATGTTATAGATTCAAATATGTGAACTCAAATTGTAAATATTAATTATTTTTAAATTACTGAGCAACAGTCTAAGCAAACACATGAATTTCCAATCAACATATCTGGTAATAATATTTAATATAATGATCCTACAAAAATTGTATAAGAATCAATTTAGAGGAATTAAATTTGTACAAAAGAGTCTTAGCTTTAAGACGATTTCTATGACTTCGTTTTGTAATTCGTCCTCGTGATCACAGGATCTCCACATGAAAGGAACTAGAGGTGAATAGCACGAATGAAGAAAAGCGACTCGATGACTCCTCACATACGGGCTGAAATTTAAAGAATATTAAGTAGCATTGGAATAGGCTACTTTTAAGCTCAATATTCATGAAATAGAAGATATGTCGAATTGGTACTAACGTTGGATTTGGGGTCGTCTCACTATATAACGACAGACTACTCACAAATATACAATCTTAGATGATGCATCAAGAAAGAAACCTATACTTAACGTGAGTGTATGGAATACTGAAGTCTGCCGATATCGCGTCTGCCAGTCCCAGACGTTCACTGCGTTGTACGCGTATTTGTGGGTTTTGGCTTTAATTATAGACGCGTTATTGGCTGGCTGGGCACTATAGAGCACGTGGAGGAATAATTATTCACTATTAGTTGGGTATCAGCGTAATTCTTGCCGATAACTCCCAATCACCGCGTGTCTCGCCACTCTTCACGCCAGGACCCTCCTCTCTCGCACGCTGTCGTCTCCACAATGACGTCGCCGCCTCCCCCAACCCGGCTCTCGCAATTCACCACAGAAATTATTAATCACGAATAATTCTTTTTCGCGCGATTATGGATGAAATGCGTTAATGAGGACTGGGTTGCAATTATAGGGATTTAAATATTATCGTATTCTCGTTTTATGGTGTTAAACGGGAAATGGAGAAGATTTTATTCTCCTCCATGACATTCGCGTCACTCTCACGTCGTAGTGACGTGAGTGACCTCCCCCTCGCAGTATTGACGAGAGTGACCCACCCCTTGCAGTAGTGACATGAGAGTGACCCACCCCTCCCAGTAGTGACGAGAGTGACCCACCCCTCACAGTAGTGACATGAGAGTGACCCACTTTTCGCAGTAGTGACGGGAGAGTGACCCACCCCTCCCAGTAGTGAAGTGACAGTGACCCAGCCTTCACAGTAGTGACGGGAGGGTGACCATCACCTCGCAGTAGTGACGTGAGAGTGACCAACCCCTTATAGTAGTGACGTGAGTGACCAACCCCTCGTAGTAGTGACGAAAGTGTGACCGACCCCTCCCAGTAGTGACGGGAGTGACCCACCCCTCGAAGTATTGACGAGAGAGTTACCCAACCCAGTTGGGAGCCGGTTGGCCGAGCGGACAGCACGCTGGACTTGTGATCCTGTGGTCCTGGGTTCGATCCCAGGCGCCGGAGAGAAACAATGGGCAGAGTTTCTTTCACCCTATGCCCCTGTTACCTAGCAGTAAAATAGGTACCTGGGTATTAGTCAGCTGTCACGGGCTGCTTCCTGGGGGTGGAGGCCTGGTCGAGGACCGGGCCGCGGGGACACTAAAAAGCCCCGAAATCATCTCAAGATAACCTCAAGATAACCCTCGAAGTACTGACGGGAGAGTGGCCCACCCCTCGCAGCAGTGACGAGAGTGACCCACCCCTCAAAGTAGTGACGGGAGAGTGACCCACCCCTTGCAGTAGTGA